TGCAAGTCCTTGCTTTTCATCACTTTTAATATATCTTTCCAATCCCTTCTAGTCTGCAAAGTTTCTTTTGAGAAATCAGCTGATGGTCTTAATGGGAACTCCTTTGTAGGTAATTATCTGCTTTTCTCTTGCTACATTTAAGATTCTCCCTTTATCTTTAACCTTTGGCATTTTAGTTATGATGTGTCTTGTTGTTGACCTGTTTGAGGTCATCTTGTTTGGGACTCTCTGTGTTTCCTGGACTTGCAGGTCTATTTTCTTTGCCAAATTAGGGAAGATTTATTTTATTACTTTTTCAAATAAGTTTCCAACTTCTTGCTTTTTCTCTTCTCCTTCTGATACAAACATTGTAATGTTTGAAGTTGTCCTAGAGGCTTCTTACACTATCCTCAATTTTTTGGATTCTTTTTTCTTCTAGCTGTACTGATTGAATGTCTTTTTCTTCCTTATGTGCTAAATAATTGATTTGATTCTTGGCTTCATCCACTCTGCTGTTGATTCCCTATAAATTGTTCTTTATTTCAATTACTGTCTCCTTCATTTCTGATTGGATCATTTTATGCTATTGAAGGACCCACTGAGTTCCCTGAGCATCTTTATAACAAGTGTTTTGAACTCTGCATCTAGTATTTTGCTTGTATTCACTTTTTCAGTTCTTTTTCTAGAGTTTTGTTCTGTTCTTTCATTTGGGCCGTGTTTCTTGTCTCCTCATTTTGGCAGCCTCCCTGAGTTTGTTTTTATGTAGTAAGCAGAGCTGCTATGTTTCCTAATATAGTAGGTATCCCATAGAGTGTAGTGGTACAGCCTCCTGTATTATTCATGCTGAGTATTCGAGGTGTGCCCTCTGTATGACCTTTGTGCACCTTCCTGTTTTAGTTGATTCTTGATTGCTGTTGGCATGTCCAAGGTTAGCCACCACCTGTGTTCTGTCCATGGTCATACAGCATAAGCTACAAAGTGATCTGCAGATGGTGGCTACTTGTGCTTGGCTTGGAGGTACACATGCAAGGCCAGGCTGTTAACCAAGGCCAGCTGCTATTAACCATGTGCCTCAGGCAACTTAGCAATTGGTACAGGGCTCACTGAGGCCAGATCTACTTTTTTTGAGAGAATTTAGGAAAGTATGAAGCATGGGCCAAGACATGCCATTTGTATAGAAGAGACACTGGAAACAGCTTGGGTAGGCCTAATAGTTGGGTAGGGCAGCATCTCAGGGAGTCAGTAGGGTGGGGAAAACATTGTTAGCCAGGTTGGTGGAGTCCCAGATATAGTGTCCACCTACCAACTCTGTGGCTCTCTGCAGGAGGGATCAGAAAAGAAATAGTGGCCTCTACCAACACTTCTATGTGGGAGAAAGCTGTCCCACAGCTCTTTCCCTGATGCCAGACAGTTCAGTTCCCCCTCTTGTGCCTTTCACAATGCAACTCAGAGGGAGCGGATCTGAGTAAGTTTGTGCATGGGCCCTTGAAGAAGAACTACCAGGGAGTCAAGCAGTTTCTTTCTTCCATAGCCTTAATCCCCACTGGTTTTTACAGCCAGAAGTTATGGCAACTTTTTCTGGCCCTGAAATCCTGGCCTAGGGAGCCTGGTGTGGGGTGGGATCCCTTGCTTCTGAGATATCCCTCCAGATGCACGTGGGTATGGGACCAGGCTGTTTTGCATCTCCACCCTTCGTACCAGTCTCAATGTACCTTCTTTTTTAATTCCATAGTTGTAGGACTTCCATTCAGCTCAATTTGTGATGATTCTAATGATGATTGTTCTGTAGTTTAGTGGTAATTTTGATGCAGTTGTGCAAAGAGGCCAACCGTGTTTACCTATGCCGCCATCTTGACTGAGAGTCAGAAGGACCATTTAAAAGATAAGCTGCTAGGACTTCCAGCCAAGATGGAGGCATAGGTAGATACACTGTGCCTCCTCGAACAACCAAAAGAAGGACAACAACAATTTAAAAACAAAAAACAACCTGAACTGACAGAAAATTGAATTGTATGGAAGTCCTACAACCAAGGAGTTAAAGAAACATTCACCCAGACCAGTGGGAGGGGCAGAGATGGGAGATAGGCCACCAAGCAGAGAGGATGTCCAGCAAGGTGGTGGATGCTGTGGGCAAAGTGAATGTGCCTGAATGGAAAACTAAAGACTCAAAACTAGCTGTAAAATACTGCAGGCATTGCAACAGCAAGAGAAACTCCTGGTCTCACAGAAGAGTCCTTTGGAAAGTGGGTCTACAGCGGTGCAAGTGAGTGATATTGATTCCTCTCTGACCCCTCCCCCATAGACAGTGCCATAACCCAACAAAGAGGGTTTCCCCAACCTGGCAAAAACCTAAGGCTCCTCCCCCTTACAACAAAACAGGTGCTCCAAGACAAAGAAATATGGCCCAAATGAAAGAGCAGATCAAAACTCCAGAAAAAGAAATTTCTGCTCATGATGGAGACATAGGTAGATACACTTTGCCTCCTTGCATGAGCAAAAGAAGGACAAAAACAAATTTTAAAACAAAAAATAACAGAACTGCCAAACAATCAAACTATGGAAGTCTAACAACCAAAGAGTTAAAGAGGAACCATTCATCCAGTCTGGTAGCAGGGATGGAGAGAGGCAGCTGGGGCAGAGAGGATGCATGGCAAGGTAGCAGTTGGTGGAGTGGGAAATCCCATATCTGGGTGCAGATAAACCAGGAGGAACAACTGGGGAGTAAGACAGACCACACAACACAGGGTTCCAGCACAGGGAAATAAAGCATCAAAACCTCTAACTGAAAAAACCTGTGTGGATGAGGTGGCAGGTGAAACTCCCAGCCTCACAAGAGGATTCATGGGAGAGACCCACAGGGCCCAAGTATGTACAGAAAACCATCCACCCAGGAATCACCACCCATTGCTTGTGGGTGCTAGAGGAGGTGGCTTGAAAGCCAGCTGAGAGCTGAGCAAGCAGCATCGTTCCCTCTCAGACCCCTCCCCCACACAGAACACCACAATGCAGCTACTTGGGTTGCCTTGCCCTGGTGAATACTTAGTGCTCCTCCCCTTGCTACATAACAGGTGCGCTGACACACAAAAAATATCGCCCAAATGAAAGAACAGATCAAAGCTCCAGAAAAAAACTAACTAAGCAATGAAGAGATAGCCAACCTATCAGATGCAGAGCTCAAAACACTGATAATCAGGATGCTCACAGAAATGGTTGAGTATGGTAGCAAAATAGAGGAAAAAGTGAAGGCTATAAAAAGTCAAATAAAGGAAAGTGTACAGGGAACCAACAGTGACAGGAAGGAAACTGGGACTCAAATCAATGGTTTGGAGCAGAAGGAACAAATAAATATTTAACTAGAACAGAATGAAGAAACAAAAATTCAAAAAAAATAAGGAGAGGCTAAAGAACCTATGGGAAAACTTTAAACGTTCCAACATCTGAATCAATGGGGGTGCCAGAAGGAGAAAAGGAAGAGCAAGAAATTGAAAACTTATTTGAAAACATAATGAAGGAGAACTTCCCCAATCTGGCAAAGGAAATAGACTTCCAGGAACTCCAGGAAGCTCAGAGAGTCCCAAAGAAGTTGGACCCAAGGAATCACACATCAAGGTACATCATAATTACATTACCCAAGATTAAAGATAAGGAAAGAATCTTAAAAGCAGCAAGAGAAAAGGAGACAGTTACTTACAAAGGAGTGCCCATAAGACTGTCAGCTGATTTCTCAAAATAAACCTACAGGTGAGAAGGGGCTAGAATGAAATATTTGAAGTCATGAAAGGCAAGGACTTACATCCAAGATTACTCTATCCAGAAAAGCTATCATTTAGAATGGAAGGGCAGATAAATGCTTCCCAGATAAGGTAAAACTAAAGGAGTTCATCATCACCAAGCCCTTATTGTATGAAATGTTATAGAGACCTACCTAAGAAAAAGAAGATCAAAACTGTGAACAGTAAAATGACAGCAAACTTACAACTATCAACAACTACACCTAAAAAACAAAAACAAAAACAAACTAAGCAAACAATTAGAAGAGGAACAGAATCACAGGAATAGAGATGACATGGAGGATTATCAGTGGAGCGGGGGAGGAGGCAAATGGGGAAAAGGTACAGGGAATAAGAAGCATGACTGGTAGGCACAAAATAGGGAGAGGCTAAGACTAGTATGGGAAATGGAGAAGCCAAAGAACTTATATGTAGGACCCATGGACATGACCTAAGTGGGGGATGGTATGCTGGTGGGAGGGGGGATGCAGGGCAGAACAGGATAAAGGGGAGGAAAAAATGGGACAACTTTAATAGCATAATCAGTAAAATACAGTCAAAATAAGTAAAAGAAATAAAAAATAAGCCTGTGACTTGCTGGTATTGACTACCTAAATTAGAAGGTAATATTCTATTAGTACCCATTAATAGACAATAAATTATAATATCCAAATTATAGTCTGAAACAGGAGTTCTCCAAGCTGAAAAAATGAAAATATTAGCTACACCAAAGAAATACATTATTATTAAAGGCAATATTATAAGGTCAGGAATCTGGTTGGCTCAGAGAAGGATTATAAACTTTTTGTTACCATTGGCCTTCAGATTTCATGTCCCTGGTCCCGAAAACCAGATTTCAAGCAGATCCAAAACGGATAGTGGAAAAATTAAGACAGAAACCTCATTTAAAATAAAGTTGGGAGGCCAGAAGGGGGAGCTCTCATCCTCTACACCAATCATGAAGCTCAACAGGAAGGACTCTGTTTAGAATATTAATGACTTATTCTTCTTTTCTATAAAAGAGTTTCTTTTTTGTTTCTTGGGACTTGAACATGGTTTAACAGACTGCATGCTCCAAATTGCAATTCTTTGTTTTTAATAAACCCATTTTGCTGGAGAATTACCTGTTTGTTTGTTTAAGGTCAACAGTGGCCTGTGCTTGTACCTATGGGGTCTAGATTTATTCAGCAGAGGTGTTGTATGCATGTGCTTGAAGCTTCGCAAGTTGTTTCCTTAAGATTCTTACATCAGGGGCTCCCAGTGCTTACCACAGGCTGTGTTCTAACACTGTGCAGAAAGAAGAGGCAGAGTAAATCCATCTCATATACACCTTAGCCCAAGCCCTTCACCTGGTCTGCATTGTGAGTAGGGAGACATGGAAAAAGAAAAAAGAGAGAGAGAAAAAAAGATTCTTATATCAGAAAGCAAACATCTTTTTTGCTAAAGTCCTCCTCCATGCAGGAATGAGAATGAAAATTGATGCGATAGAGAACCTCAATGGCTGCACCCCACCTTATTGGCAGAGGCTCAAATTCTCAAAACGTCCTTATATTGAGCAGAAATACAATTACTATGGATCAGGTCTGCACTTTGAAGACCACAGAGAAAGAACTTTCTCTTCCCAATGTCAACATTTAAGCTTCTGTTCTAAAGGAGAACATTCCCTGATACCTTGCGACATATACATGTATATTGGGTTGGCCAAAAAGTTTTAGTTTTTTTCTGTATGATGGTTGTAGTAGTGCTTAGATGTATTTAACTTCATTCAAAACAAATTTGTTAAATTGTATTATGACAGCTGTCATATCAGGGTGTATTTTAAAAAACTTATCAAAAGTGAATTTTTGTGTAGCCAGTTTAATATTGAAGATGAAGAAAATATGCAACATTTTTGGCATAGTATGCTTTATTATTTCAAGAAAGGTAAACATGCAACCAAAACATAAAAAAGGATTTGTATAATGTATGGAGAAGGTGCCATGACTGAGAGAACATATCAAAAGTGGTTTGCGAAGTTTTGTGCTGGATATTTCTTGCTGGACAATGTTCCACAGTTGGGTTGACCAGTTAAAGTTGATAGTGATCAAATTGAGACATTGAGAAAAATCAATGTTATACTATTTGCCAATATACCTTTTTTCTGTTTGATTTTTATTATTGAGGTATAACTGACACATAAGATCACATTAGTTTCAGATGTATAACATAATTATTTGATATCTGTATATATTGCAAAATGATCATCACAAAAAAGTAGTTAACACCTGACACCATATATAGTTACAATTTTTTTCTTGTGACTAGAACTTTTAAAATCTCTTCTCTTGGAAACTTTCTTTCTTTTTATTTATTTATTTTTAACAAATTTATTATCATTATTATTAACCTAGAGACAGGGGGAGGGAGAAAGGGAGAGAAATATTAAATGGTCGCCTTCCATAGACCCCCTTACCAGAGACTAAACCCACAACCCAGGTATGTGCCCTGATGGGGAATTGAACCAGTGACCTTTCAGTGTGAAAGACATTGCACATCTGAGTTACATGGGCTGAGGTCCTCTTGGCAACTTTCCAACATAGTTTGCCACTACACATTTTAAAATTTGCCACTAGGAGTTGAAAAGTTTTCTCATGACAGAATATTTATGGCACATACATTATATCTGAGTAAGGCAGAGGGAGAGGGAAATGGAAGTGATTTTAAGGAAGTGAGCTCAAGGATCGGAAAGATGGTATTGAAGGTGGCATCTATGGTATTGAAAAACTGGGGATAATTTTCAGATGTAAGATGATTTAGAGTTGGCTATACTTTCTGGTGAGAAACAGGAAATACAGACCTGGAGGAAGAATAAGAGGTTAGCACTAAAGTTGTAAAGTTTAAAGGGTCTTCAGCCTAGATGTAGACTGTAATAGCTAATCTATAGAGGAAGGGGGAAACTCCCATTTCTGGGGTGTCTAGGATGATTAGGCTGTGCTATATGTTTGCCTGGTGTTAATATCATCAAATCATCACATTTTGTAAGATAGGAATTACTGCCCCCATGACCAAGGAAAGCTGATAAAAGTTTAAAAATATTTTTTATTGTTGTTCAAGTATAGTTGTCTCCATTTTCACCCCACCATGGCCCCCATCCCCATCTCCTACCCTCAAATCTACCCCCTTTGGCTTTGTCCATGTGTTCTCTATACATGTTTCTTAATGGCCCTCCCCCTTTTCCCCCCATTACCCCTCTCCCTGTTCCCCTGTGGTTACTATCAGTTAGCTCTTTATTTCAATGTCTCTGGTTATATTTTGCTTGTTTGTTTTGTTGATTAGGTTCCTGTTAAAGGTGAGATCATATGGTATTTGTATTTCACTGCCGGGCTTATTTCTCTCAGCATAATGCTCTCCAGTTCCATCCATGCTGTAGCAAAGGGTAGGAGCTCCTTTCTTTCTGCTGCATAGAATTCCATTGTGGAAATGTACCATAGTTTTTTGATCCATTCATTTACTGATGGGCATTTAGGTTGCTTCCAGCACTTGGCTATTGTAAATTGTGCTGCTATGAACATTGGGGTGCACAGGTTCTTTTGAATTGGTGTTTCAAGATTCTTAGAGTATAATCCCAGCAGTGGAATTGCAGGGTCAAAAGACAGTTCTGTTTTCAGTTTTCTGAGGAAATTCCATATTGTTTTCCACAGTGGCTGCACCAGTTTGCATTCCCATCAACAGTGCACTAGGGTTCCCTTTTCTCCACAACCTCTCCAGCACTTGTTTGTTGATTTGTTAATGATGGCCATTCTGACCAGTGTGAAGTGTTATCTCATTGTGGTTTTAATTTGCATCTGTCTGAGGGCTAGTGATACTGAGCATCCTTTCATATGTCTATAGGCCCTCAGTATGTCCTCCTCGGAGAAATGTCTGTTCAAATCCTTTGCCCATTTTTTAATTGGGTTGTTTGTCTTCCTGGAGTGGAGTTGTGTGAGTTCTTTATGGATTTTGGAGATCAAACCCTTGTCCAAAGTATCATTGGCAAATATATCTTCCCATATTTGGCTCCCTTTTCATTTTACTGCTATTTTCTTTAGCCATGCAGAAGCTTTTTATTTTGATGAGGTCCCATTTCTTTATTGGAAGGCTGATAAAAGCTAAGTAAAATTCTCAGGGCCACCCAACTACTAAGTGAAAGGGTTGGGACTCCAACTCAGATGATTTCTCAGGGTGTGTGATGAGCACATCAAGAACATGTTCCCAAACCAGTGGTGTCAAGTATGAATCAAAGACCACTAGTGTGTGAAGGTTTTTCAGGTGGTCTGTAGTTTGAGTGCAGATTTAGTGCTTTAAAAAAATTTTTTTATTGTTGTTCAATTACAGCTGTTCCCATTTCCCCCCATTACTCTCCCCTGCCCTTCCAGATTTAGTTCCTATGACATAATAAAGTCTACAGTTTTGGGGGAGGCTGGGTAGCATAGAAAGACCTGGCTTCAAATCACAGCTCTGCCTTTTGCTTGTTGTATGTTTGTGGGTAAATTTCTCCACCTTTAGTTTTATTTTTTAAATTAAAAAAAAATCCCCAACTGAGGACATTTTTTTCATTGTCAGAGAAATAAGCATTGATGTGAGAGAGAATTATCAACCCACTGCCTCCCACATGCACACTGACTGGGGACTCGCATGTGCACATGTGACTGACAAAGCATTGTCCCACAATCTTTTGGTCTATGGGACAATGCTCCAACCAACTGAGCCACACAGGTCAGGGAAAACTTCTCTACCTTTTCAACTCTTAGTTTCTTCATCTATAAAATGGTATTAGTAACACCAACCTTGTTTGTGTTGTTACAAGGACCAAATGAGCTCAAGTTTGTAATGGGTATATTACATAAGTACAATGCATATAAAGAATATTTATTTATGAGGAGTGCCTAAACAGCAAGCATTCAACAAAGAGTAGCACTCAATCAAGCCTCTCTTTATTTTTATTTATTCTAATTTATTGATTTGAGAGAGAGATGAAGGGAGAGAGACATTGATTTGTTGTTCTACTTATTTATGCATTCATTGGTTGCTTCTTGTATGTGCCCTGACCCAGGATCAAACCCAAAACTTGGGTGTATCAAGACAATGCTCTAATTAAATAAGCCACCAGGCCAGGAGTCAAACCTCTTTTTAAGATAGAGAATGGGTGTGGTGGATTGTAATGTGTCATCTTGGCTAGGTTGAACTACTTTTCCCAAAAGTCCCTTCCTCATGTGTTTCCAATTAGTATGGTCCACAGAGACATTCCTGTGGGAGACTGAGGGCAGAAGTGAAGCAACAGCCATTTTGTAGCTCACACACATTGTCATTTATTTTCTGGGTGAGGCAGTAGCCAGGCCTGCAACTGCTCCATCTTCCCCTAGATCCTCCTAAAGCATCTCTGGCTTTCTGGGCCAGGTATGTATGTTTATATTGATCAAAACTAACAAGGGTACCATACCATCAAAATCAGAGGCAACAAGGACTGACACAGTTTCACTTAATTTTTGTGGGCTCCAGCTTATGTTTGCTCCCTCCCAATTTGCATCCACCCTCTCTTTCCAACTGCCTGCTGCTGACTATATATATCTCCTAGTTACAGTTGCTAGATCTAGCAAATAAAAAAGGGAATCCTCAGTAAAATGTGAATTTCAGAAAAACAATAATTTTCTAGTATATATTTATCTGAAATTCACATTTGACTAGGCATCTTGTTTTGTTTTGTTTTCTTCCTTTGCTAATGCAGGCAACCCTAAAAGTGTGGGGGTAAGTGACTAGAGAAAGATAAGAGTTCTGTGTAGTACCTAATTGAGGATGGTAACTGTGGGTTTACAATGACACCAACTAATACTCAGCTGAGTACTTTTCTCCAGAAGTGCTCAGTTGTTTAGCTATAGGTAATGTCAAGGCAGATAATGGGATGCATCCAGAGTTAGAACTTTATTAGGTGGATGTTTATCCAAATGCAAGAGTTTAGGGCAGCGATTTGAGAACATCTATTTGCAATAGCATCATTTAGTTTGTTAGAACACAGATTGAAGGGTCCTACCCCTATTTTTGAATCAGTGGGTCTAGGGTATGGCCCCATAATTTGCATTTCTAGTAAGTGTGACTGCCCCGGGCACCAAACTTTGAGACCCAATGGAGTAGACTGATGGGAGACCTTGAGGTCCAAAGTAGGTAAGAGGAGGAAATAAGGAAGAAGGAGGCTAATGAGGCACAGAGGATGTAAGAAAGGAAGTCCATATTCCTCATCCTCATAGTGAGTGGAAGATGGATGGTGCCCTCTGAGGGGTTGGTTGTTCTACTTCCTTCTATCTTTCCTTTCTTCTGTTCTAATTTTAGACTATGTATTGTCCATGTCCTTCCTCTAACACTAATA